CCCCCCACCCCCACCCCACACCCACACCCACACCCACACCCACACCCGTGTTTCGTTTCTAAATCTTATGTAAATTTTTTTAGGAGACGATTTGGCATAATCCTATTTGTATACCTCTAATAAAGGTGTCTCCACAACTAAACAAGTTCTCCAATTTTACTGTAGTCTTAGGATCGTATCAATTAATACTCACACAATACTGCGAACAGATAAACGTGTATCCGTGAAAAATAGTATTGTGCCTGTAAATCGATCAGCAATCTGAAAATCTCTAGAATAAACTATTCTCAATTACTATGAACTCCTATGACTGTGGTTAGGTTGTTCAAAGCATACTATCAAGGTACTGCGTTCGAGCCTTGACGCCATTAAACATAGAATAACCGTAGACGAGTCACTAATGGCTATTTGTCGTGAATTATCCGTACGATAGCATGTTTTTTGCGTTGTGATATGCATGGGATGTTGCCGTTAGTATGTGGCTAATTAGTGTATAGGAAGAGGTCAACGAGCGGAAGTACTCTCAGCCAGGCTAGCCTTTTGTTCAGAGCTACAGCTAGCAATAGTTGTAGAAAAACAATATCGATCTTTCGTAACGGTCTTCGGACTGTATCCTACATCTAAAGGTAGCCAGAAGGCAGGGTAGTCTTCTTGTTCAATCACTATAATTTCGAGAAGACTCTTTGTTAATGCATCGCTGATATTTATATTTTTATATGATTGAGAACACAGGGCGTGGGTGTGGGTGTGGGTTTTCATTTCAATCACTCAGACAATCACATGCGCACCCACACCCACATCCACGCCCACACCCACTCCCCACACCCACTCTCATAGCCACACCAACATCCACATCCCACACCCACCCAAAATTCATTACATAGTTTTCTCAAAATGGGTTTTCTATTATTATTCGAATAACTTCTTTGCCAGTTTACGTGATACAGCTCGAAGTGCTCATAAATTCAAGAGAAAACTATACTCTACAACTTAGCATAGTCTGATTTTTCATTTTTGAATTATTTGTCGAAAAAACAAAATTTTTTCGCCATTGTTTATGATAATTTTTCAGAATTGTAATGAAAGCTTTCATGTAGAGGAAAAAAACATAGTTTTCAAAAATAAATCGAGTCTCTTGAGTTCTAGTACCAGATGCTCGCTACATTTTAACATGAAGCCAGATTTCGTTTTTTGAACCCTGATATGTTGATAAATCTTGAACAGCTCAATATTTTCGCCTGAAACTTTTACCATGAACTACACGAAAATATGGGCACATATTTTCAAAGAGTTTGAACCAGATTTTTTGCTTTCGGGCAAAGATAGATATCTGAGTGTGGTAGACGGATGCTAATAGATTCACCTACGCAGCACTGTTTCTGTTCTTTTATGTGGCGTTCTGTTGCCACTGTTAGCTAATCATATTCTTGTGTTACTCTCAGCTGTATACTGCGGCAAAAACCACCAACGCACCAATAAAAATTACACCTGATATTATATTCCTGTACGGCGTGCTGACGTATCCTCCTTCTTTGTGTTTGTGAGAATTGCACAACCATTGTGCAAGTTTTTTATCTCTCAATGACAAAATGACGCACTCATTTGATATACTATAAAAAGAGCATCAAAAGCTACACGATGTATCTTATCCGTGAAACAAGAATGATATATGGCGCAGCAATATTTTTCATATTCTTCTCTATTCGCATTGATTTGATTGAATCTATTCGCTGTGGAACAAAGTGCCCTTTCATATTTGGATCATTCAATCTCAGTATACAAGAAAACATATGTCACGAATTCGTCGAACAAGACAAGTCCCAGTGTTTACTCACTATGGAACTCGATTTTGAATTGAAAGATGGCGCTGCCCTTCTAATGATTGTAGATCATGAAGGAGCCGACTCTTTAAGCATCGAAACAAAACTTGGAATCAATACCAATGCGTCTAAATCTATAATTAGATACAGGTGTTCAATGTCAAATAATTGTGCCTGGAAGTTTGTTAACGAATTGTTTAGTCCTGCATTGTTAGAATTCGATGCATTAGCTGTTCGACAAAAATTAAGTGAACTACTCTACACTGACAAACCGAATCCAGCTGGAGTTAAATGTGCAAATAATACATGTAATAGCGTCAGTTATTGTCAGGGTCGTATGGAAGAAAGTCTAGCAACACAGGAGCAATTTATTCATATTGACAACCGTTTACCATGTGCAAACACATCAAAAATACAAGATATGATAATCATTGAACAAACGTACTCTTTTTTCAATACAATTAAAACAAATATGACTCTATTCTGTAATCAACCTGAATGTAACAACAATGAAATGCTAATATCGGTATTCACACTATTCAAAAGGGAGTTTCATCTACCACTGAACTATTCCGTTATGGAAACCAATACATCGTTTGTAACGACCACTCCCAGTTCACGAGCTTCAATTTCGTACATTCCTGTATCCTATGTACTGATCATAAACATTGCTATGACTTTTCTTTTATCTATGAAATAAAAAATAAATAAACATCGTTGTATAGTTTTCCAGACGATTTAAGTTCAAAATGAAGTCTAAATAAAGAATGAGGCACACAAGTGTCAAATAGACTGATTTGTTTATTGTCAACAGTAATATAGAGTTCGATGAAGAATTTTACGCTAAGTCATTTCGTCATGGTTTTAGATCGATTTGATAGTTTCTAGGTCAGAATGCATCTTCAATACTACCCCAATCTTATCATATTTGAATCCATCATCAAAATCATGAGATATTTTTGATGAGCAGCACCAGCTCAAAATTAGGATAGCCTCATAATATATCGAAGATGTGAGAATCAGATCAGTAGTAGGTTTGAGTATGCCCAGAACATTCACACTTGCCCTTACATACAAATCTTGCACCCACTCTCAAACTTAATATGTAAAAATAAGATTTGGCATCAAATAAAAGAGACAAGTTCTATGATTGTATATCTGTCGAATTCGAAGCGCTTTTATTGAAGAAGGCTCACTAGAAAATAAATGAAAACATAAACTCGTTGTCATTTATGTGTATAATTTATGTTACTAATTAATAAAATTTTGTCCTATTTGACTGAAAGAATAGGAGTGCTTAGTGACAATGATTTGATTTGCAATATGGTTTGTGGAGTGTGAGTGTTAATGTCTTTCTTCGTTACACCCACACCTTTCAGAGACGTAGAGATATCTCTGATCATCTATGATCAATCCAAAACAAATGGTTCTGCCGACAAGGATTTCTCCATACGTTGCACTACTCCGATGAGACTATCGTAGGACTTGCCGATTTCGCGTATCACAAATAATGAGACTATTTGTCTCTTTTTCGATCAACACATCGATTGAAGAATTCAATCGATCCATTGTATTTCCTGAGTCATAGCCACTAGCTACGATTTGTCCATTTCTATCGCCAATGTGTCACCGAACAATTCGATTATTCCAACGGTCAGCAATGGTCATTATTTGATAATCATCAATGAAGAGAACCTGAGGGTCGGTGATTTGACTAGTGACTTTGCATCATTGATGGTCTCCAGCAACAGTCACTCCATTCTGTGCCCATCAGGCATTGACCGGAATGTTGAAAATCACTAAAGTAAAGAAAAAGGAATCGTCACTGTCGTTATCGAAGAGAATTTGGTGAAACTTTTGAGAATTTATTTCTCTAACATACTCTAAACCAACGAAAGACTCTTCCAGTAAATACAAATTCAGAGTTCTCTTTTTGGTTTTCTATGAAGAAAACAAGAGTGGATGTGGGTATGTTGCTATGAGTTTAATGAGTAGGTGTATGGAAGACCCATAAATTCACACCCACAACCAAAAAGGATTTCTCTTTAGTAGTGAAATGAATGACTGGCTGACTAAGAAATAGAAAGAGATTTATAACAAAAAAATTTGATTCACTTTTGTTTCACATCATCTTATCTTAAATCTATCAATGAGAAATATGTCGAAAAAGGAACACGTAGAAGTGTGTCACTATTGAAGGCAAACTTGCCAATTGACTCAATGTTTTTAAATGTAGAACTCACATTCGAATATTCGTAGGACCACAGAGTAGATTATAAAGATGCAAAAAAACTCTCCTGAATATCAAAACTTAGTTGAAACGAATCTGTCTCAGTCTCTCCATTCATTTTGACGATTTTGTACTGTCTTTGATCGTCTAGAACTCTTCGTTTTTTTTTCAATTGTTACAATACTTCTGTCAATTATTCACTGTTGGCAGTTCATTCGTTAGTCATTACTGGTTTGGTTTTTATTTCATACTCGCATTCTTTGTTCTACAGCTCAGCATCGAAACATGCTTTTCAATAGAAAGAAAGAATAAGTGCCTCAATTTGATCGAAGTATTCATTGGATAGAAGACATTCAAGTGGTTTTCCTTTGACTACTCATTTTTTGATCTCATAAGATAAAGCTAATCTTTCTTTAAAAAATCTAATAAGTGATGAAAAAAGTAACTGTTTCGGCTAGAATAGTGTGGTCCTCGAACCACCGTGATATCTATGGGTGGATCGAATTTCAAGCTAACACTTGACAATAAGACCTCAATTGCTTACAGCGGGAAAATCGAACGAAGGGAAAACTTTTACCTTAAGCTCAAGAAAAAACTTTTCTTTAATATTATGACTGATATTCTTCCAACATAATGCTTTGCACGGTGACTCATCGATGTCACATTGTCCTCCTTCCTTCCTAAGCACATTGATGTCGGAAGAATTTCGACAGTGTTCACTAATAACTTAATTAAGTTAGCTCTTTTATTCAGTCTTTTAACACAATCTCTCTAATGTTTGTTAGCTTTAAATTACATTAAAAATAATAAATTATAAAATGAATCATGAGTGAAAGAGCAGAACAAGATACATGCATGAACAATATTTAAAAAATTCACTCTTCACACTTGAAAAGTTGTCATTTTTCTTTTAGATTAGTAGTGTAAACACTCAATGTAAGGACCATCATCTACAAGATCACATCGGCCCATATGACGGTGTCAGCATATTTGTTTTCATTTTTCGATTTTGAATCAGGAGCCAATTCTAGAGCATATTGATATAGTAGCTGTCGTCGTTCTTGTTTCGTCAAGTTTTTCTCTCTCGGATCATCTCGTGCCCATTTAGCCAGTGTCAATGTTTGAAATCCACTGATATCCTGCACATCTACAGGATCCAAGCCAATATACAAATCATCCTGTTTGTTCAATGCTGTTATTCCTCGCAGTAGACGTTGATTTATTGTCGACTGCCCATCAACAATCATATCACTGAATAAATTTCCAGTAACCATTGGATTGATAGAAAATTGGATATTTTGTGTCTTTTCGAACAGTGCTAGCGGACCATGTGCCCAATCAACTGGCACCCAGATAGGAGATTGCGAAGATAAATTTGCTGCCCACATTTGATCATTAAATGATGGTTGAATGAGTATAGTACAATTTTGAGAATCAAGATGTGACAAAACATCCAAATAAAAAGCATCCAAACAAATAGCTATACACGTATTGTTAGGCTTTATTACTGTATTATTTTCGAGTTTTCCTGGAGTCAATTGCAGTAATTCAATCTCTGCTGGAGTCAAATGATACTTATCACGACTGGCAATCAGACTACCATTTGGTGCATAAACATGAGCTGTATTATAAATTTCTTTTGTTAATGGTAGATAGACCTCTGTTTGATTGGGATAAAGGTCAGGATCACCATATAATTCAATATCTTTTGGATCTGTAGATCTAGTAATTCGAGGACCAAATGTGGCTGAAACAATGGTAGCATTTAGTAACCGAGCTAACGATGAAAATGTTTGGTTAAATGCTCTCCACATGACATCGCTCAACGATAGTTCAAGGGCATTTGTGATCGAAATCGTCGGGTATTCACTCAAGTAAGATGTAATTTGTTTCTCGTAGGCTTTCGCCATCAATGAGAATGCATTTTGAACTGTTCCAGCTTGTGCTCGAGCAACTTGACCACGTGTTCCAATAAAGGCTGACGTGAGTCCTGTGAGTTCACCAAAAACAATGAGTGTTGGTTCGTGTGATCGCAATTTATATAAATCAGTACGATTAAACTGGTTAAACCATGTTGTATAGCTCACAGATGCTTCAATTGATTGGCGATGACCAACAGCTATCAAACGAAGTGAATCGATTGCTAACGGCAGAAACCAAAAAGAGAGAGACACTAAACAGAGCAAAGTCTTCATCTTTCACGAAAACATGCAACATTTGATTTTGCTATCTCGAAGCAATGACAACACCCATCTTTTATTGATTTAAGGAAAAAAGTGTCCATTTATTCCTATTATCTCTTCAGCAGATATTTCTTTTTAAAGATAACAAGACATAGCAAAAAAGTGTGCACGGGAGAACAATCATGAAACAGTATCTTCATCGTCTGCTATGGGGCCGATGCATGTTCAAGTCTTCTAAACAGCTTTTACCAAAAATCTCTTTTTTCAAATGTTGTTCTCCTCTGGGATGTGGGTGTAAATAATCATTCACCTCACATCCACACCCAAATCATTAAATGTTTTCCATGATAATGTTTCCTATTCTTGAAACCATAAAGGTGAACTACAATGTTTATTTCCGGCCTTTTAACCACTTCCATGCTTCTTGTTCTTGTTGAATATTAACTTTAGGAAATCTTTGAAACTCATCTTAAATTGTTTCCATAGTAGCAAGAAACTTTGATAAAGATAATTTATTTTGTTATCACGTGATTCAAGACCATTGTTTGTTGATGGACATTCAATTACGACACCTTCGCACCAGAATATCAAGTTCATGCAGCTTTCTCGATCACATCATCACCGAATGACAATTATAATATTAAAAGATCATGTTCCATTTTCCAACAGGAACTATTATTCGATGTTCACGTATTTCTCTATGCTTTTGCGTCGTCACCAAGCAAATTGCTCAACTTCGTACCGAATACTTAAAACACAGAGCAACCAGATTTAGTAAAAATAACTTTCTATAGTATTTTACCCGTAATATTAAATACACATTCCTTTACTGTTTGAAACACTCTGATATACAAACTTGCTGCTTCATCTGTGGGTGGATGTGGATGAGTGTGAGGTAGATCATCTCCCACACCCACCCTCAAACGATATCAGAGCTTCGCTTGAGATGGCAAAGCCCTATGAGATAAATAGCTACTTATAGAAACATTTTTATAAACAAAAATGTAACTTTCTTATCTATTGCAGTGAGAAGAGCAAAAGTTGAATATACATCGAGGATAATATGTTCTAACTTTATCGTGACATGTCATAACCAACACCTTTTATCGAAATTTTATTACGATGGTATTAGTTAGAGAATGATCAAATATCACAGAAGAGCAGAGCATTGCTTTTGCTATCATTACCTATAAAGAAAAAGTACCTTCAAAGAAAGATAAAAGAAATGTGTTCTGTTGGGGGAACAAGGGAATCAATCCGTACATCATTGTTTTGGAAAGAAAACATTGCAGAGCTAAATCTCTATCTTTTCTTTGATGCGACTAAAAATAAAGAAAAGAATATCAACAGAAAATAATTAATTTATATAAGACACGACAGAAATCATTGATGCGATATATAGGATGGCCCAAAAGTTTTTTTTTTTCGAAGGAAAAATATTGACAAACACTGCTTTTCAATATCATCGTTGATTTCAACAAAGAATTATAACCTTTCATGAATCATGAAAAAATTATATGGTCGTTTTCGTAACAATATATATATATCTATGATATAAATTTCACACCAAACGCTTTCTTTATCGAGATTCAAAGCTTTGAGATTTGATAAAATAAACTAACATCAACAACGATCTACTGTACTAGTGATGCGACTCAACCAGAAAGAGACAAAAGGTAGATCTGTCCTTCAAATCCCAACGCAAACCTCAGCTCCAAAAATTAATACCAAAAGGAATCCATGAGTTATGGTCCCTGAGTAATCGAATGTATGAGTGTATTTTTTGGCAATCGAAAACAAATGTTATATTCTCAGTTTTATTATATTATTTATTAATACTTATGATACCATGTAAAAGGATAGAAGGACAATATGCTGATATTCGTCAAAGAAAATGAATCGAACCAATGTGTAAAATTTTAGCATGAATCCAAGTTATTTATATGTTTTTCGTTTAGTCATCTTAACAAGAATATAAATCAGACGATATTATCTCTCAGTAAGTTCGATTCTGCGTAGATCTTTAGAAAATTTTTACAGCAAACTTAGTTGAATCTAAACGATTAAACCGTACATCCTAATACTGGAAAAAATAATAAATTCAACTTTGTATAAAAAAGTTATCATGTTCTTTGAATTTTTCAAATTATACGATAGTAACATATAAATTGCCGTCTTCATTCTCTAAATATTATTATTATTAGAGATTTTGCATCGAGATCGTTACCAAGAGAACTGAAGATCTTTTTCTTGAAGCCTTCTTTAAAGTCGAAAAGATCTCAAAGAAAAATTTTGTTATATGTGAATGGAGGAGTTGTTCTCGTCAAATATAACAACTACTCCTGAGATGAAGAAATCTTCATGAAAATTCTACTCATATTTTATATTGATGCATAAAATCAACAACAAAAACTCCATATTTTATTTAATGTTCTAATAACGATAGTACACTAGCGGAATTTGCATTATTTGAAAAGGAAAACGGGCGAATAGGTCATAGGTATTTATAAAAGATTGTCAAGAAATTTATTGTTGTTTTAAAGGAATTACGATATATTTCGATTGAAAACAAAAGATGTTTCTCTTTAAAGTAGACAATAATTGACATTTTCTTTTTTTCTCCTATTATAATACGCGATGGCTTACACGAATTTCTGAAACTAAAATTTATTTCTGACTCCACTGCGCTCAAAGATCTATTCTCACATGCGTTTACTATGTAATAGTTTCTCTAATTACTTCTATCAGTTGTATTACGTTAAAGCTTTCACGCATGTTTAATTACAAGGATTTTAGTTGAAAGACCCGATTTTATATGATGATTTCTAAAGCTTGGTTTACCATGCCATTGCGGATTCTTTCTAATAACTGATATAAACAGCCAATTATTTTACACCTAATTAGGCTCTCAATTTTATCAGAATTACTTTCGAAAATACCTAATAATTCGATAAGCTATGATTTAGGCATTGGAAAAATCAAATTCTCAAATGCTATCGAGAATAGTCTTGAAAATCCTGAAGAATTTTAAATTGTTCACTTTCAGAAGAACTTGAACTTCTATATAATTTATCCTGTTTATTCTTTGTGACTGGTTGCTTTTGTTCTTCATAATAATAAATTACATTACAGAAAAATTTTGAAAATAAAAGTCATTAACGACATCTATAAATCGATAAACTTGCTTAACATTGAGGATGTAACTTGGATACTAAAGTACCAAATGGTTTTTTTTTTGTTTGAAACATTATCACTTTACATTCGATCATGGCTGACGACTCAGATGAGGAACAAGTAGGTGAAGAACAATTAAAAGAAGAAGAAGCAGTACCACAAAAACCCAAGAAAATTTTTATTAATCATCTTGATTCATATCATGGAAAACATATTGCTCGAGTAAGTTGTTAAATTTAATTTGCTTTTTATAAAATAAAAATCTTTGGTCATTTGAAGATTTTTGCACGAGCAAAACCGGGTGCAACCGGTGAAGCTGTAGAAGAAGAAGAAGCTGTTGAGGAAGAACAAGCTGAAGAAAAACAAAAAAAATTATATGATGAACATCCTATTGATGATGGTTGGAAAGTATCAGGAACAATTAAAAATAGTCAAGGTTATAAACGACCACCATTTGTTCAAGAAATTATTCAAGTATTATTTAAATTAAATGTCAAATTATATCTACCGATTTTTTTTTGTTTTCTTTTTTTAGTATAAAGATCGTAATCAACTAGCTGATTATCTTAAAGAAATGAATGTTATCATTTACGATATTACTCAAGATCCTGAACAAGTATGACATCTTTCTATTTAATTAAGAGTTTCAGAATTCTATCAGATTTTCAGTATAGGGTCATATCTTCACTACCGAACAAAAAAAAAATCAGAAATTTATTTTTAATAAAGTCTATAAGATGAAGTTTTTTACGCCATCTACTGTTAAAACAATCTGCACTTTTCAAATATAACACTAATTGGCATTTTTTTTTCTACATCTGAAATGTACAGGCTTTATTCGATTTTCTATCACGTGAGATTAAAAAATGAGCCAAGTAAATGAGAGAAAAACTCATAGAAAAAAAAAAAGACGAGACAATTATATTGTTTCTTGTTAGTCCAGACTAGAAAGGGAAACTGAAAAATTTGATTGACATGCTAAATGTCACACGAGATTTTACATTGTTTTTGACCTATAACATCTCTATGGTATATGCAGCTTGACATGTCACTTTGATCATCTTATCAATTTATTGTAATCAACTAACATTGGAAATATCAGCGTCGGAAAACTTAGAGTTCATAAAAAAAAAAAGAAAAAAAATAGTATTAATGTGTCACACAAGATAATAATGTGTGTAATGCGTCACATTTAAGGTCAACGCTAATATAATATATTTTAGTTCAGTTCTTATCTTAAGTACTATCAAAGTTACTGTGAAATAACTCTAAATAGGGTGTCTCATGGAAGTCATTTTGTGCTTTATGATGTCATATCATATAAATATACATTATATGAGTCTTAATTGTACATCATGGTATGCAGACAAAGTACTTTCTGCTTACAATTTCAAGTATTTTCATGAGTTTTAAATGAGTCTTATCTATCTCGGTAGTAGTCAAAAACTGTTTTTACAACAAGGTACAATAATCCTGCAATACACTCACATAATAGACTAAAACATATTGTTATTTTAAATATTTAATCAATATCTAAAATTTTCGTGTCGATCGGGTCATAATATTCATAATCATCATTTGATTATGAACAGAGAATATGAAAGGCTATGTTAGTCATCAAAATGATTTTCCTTAAGCATTCATTTAGCTAAATAATATCTTTTTTTCTTCTCAAGATTGATGAAGCTGTATGGACTTGTCAAAAATTAGAATCAATTATAAATGAACTTGATCATCCAATAACATTTATTCTTCTTTCAACTATAATGACATGGGCAAAGACACAACCNTAATCATCATTTGATTATGAACAGAGAATATGAAAGGCTATGTTAGTCATCAAAATGATTTTCCTTAAGCATTCATTTAGCTAAATAATATCTTTTTTTCTTCTCAAGATTGATGAAGCTGTATGGACTTGTCAAAAATTAGAATCAATTATAAATGAACTTGATCATCCAATAACATTTATTCTTCTTTCAACTATAATGACATGGGCAAAGACACAACCCAATGAAGTAAAATAATTTTCTTTTTGTTTATTTTTCTTTCATATTTTAATCATTATAATTATAATTATTATTATTTTACTCTCATTAGGATGAAGTGCCATTTTCAGAAGATGAATTTCGTCGTCGTCGTGCTCATCCAAATTTTAAAGAACATCATAGTGCTGAAAAATTAATAACTAAACTTGGTTTAACAAATAAAAAAAAATTAATTACATATGTTGCTGCGACTGGTTTAACATATGGAATGGAAGAAAATGTTTTTCATTATATGTTTAAATCAGCATGGCATAATGCACCTGAACTTCAAGTATTTGGTAAAGGTGGAAATTTCTTACCAACAATTCATGTTATAGATCTTGCTGCGTATTTATATGAATAATAATGTTTTTTTGAATAATTTTGTTTATATGTAGTGTTTTACAAAATTTGGCTGATCGTCAATTGAAAACACGTTATGTCGTTGCTGCTGATACAAGTAAAGATACATTAATACGTATTACACGCAAAGTTAGTCAAACACTTGGAATGGGTAAAGTAAAAATTGTTGATCAAGAAGATGCAATGCTCAATCGAGATATATCGGTAAAAGAATTTTCTTTAAGTTATACATATATTTTTTATTCAGATTTGTTACATTCATAAATTTTGTTTAAAAATGTTATTCAAAAAGCCTAAAGAGACTATGAAAATTTGAGAAGAAATTTTTTTTTAGACGAATAAAAATCCAGAAATGATCTTGACGAGCAAATGAAATTTAAAATTGTTTACAACAGAGTGCAGCAGATCGCTCCCGAAACTCCTTTTTTTTTTATAAATCTTAAATTAAATATTTAATATTTGTTTTATTAGCAAGCTGACTATGATATGTTACTTGCCAACATGCAATTCGAACCAATTTTTATTCGTGAACAAATGAATATTAAATGGCATTGTGAAAATGGTATAACAGAAAATATTCAAAAGATTGTTGATGAATATCGTATTCAACGAAAATTAACAGTAATTTAAATAAAACCAGACGAAAAAAAAACAATCAAATTCGAATAATATTTATTATTTTTCTTTATAGCCAATTAAAATTTGTATTCTTGGTCCACCAGCATCAGGAAAAACGACTATTTCAAAACAATTAGCACAAGAATATAAATTACATCATCTTCAAATAAAAGATGTTATTGAAGACACAAAAAATGAACTTGTAAAAAAAAAAAAACTTTTGCTTTTGAGAAATAAAATCTTTTTGTTTTTAGGAACAATTAGTTAAACGGGATGGTGAAAGTGAACAAAATGAAGAAGAAGCTGATGATCAAGATGTTGATGAAACATTAGCAGAACGTATTGAAGAAGCACGAAATATTTTAGAAAAACTTGAAGAAGTTCGACGTGATTCAAAAGATGGTAATAAAAAGAAATTCATTTCTTTTTATATATTAGAATAATTTTCATTTTGTATCTTCTTTTCCTCTCAGCACGTTTGGATGATGATATTTTGACACAAATTTTAAAAATAAAACTTATGTCACCACCATGTCAAAATCAAGGTTATATACTTGACGGTTATCCAAAAACATTGGATCAAGCACAAAGTTTATTTGGCGGTAAAATAGAAATATTCTATAATTTTTATTTCTTTTGTCTTGTTTTTTTGTTGTTGTAGCGTCTGGTGAAGAAGGTAAAAATTTTTAGAAAATTCAAAATTTTATTAGAATTTTTCTTTTATTGAAATATAGAAGAAGAAGATGCTGAAGATAAAAAGCCACCAGTAAATGAACGTATTATTCCCGGTTCGTTCATATATATTTTTATTTAAAAATTAAATCGAACTTCTTTTTTTTTTCGATACTTTTAGAACATGTTATTATACTCGATGCAAGTAATGAATATCTTCGTCAACGTATTATGCATTTACCAGAAAAAGTCGTCGCTGGTACACATAATACTGAATTAGAATTTAAACGTCGTTTAAAAATTTATAATGAACTTGGAGATGATACACATCCAGCAAAATTTTTCGAAGATGCTGATCGACCAGGCGAAACAATTAGTAAGAATATTAATCAATATTTTAATTTTAGTATTGACAATTGATACAAATCCTAGTAGNATCTTCGTCAACGTATTATGCATTTACCAGAAAAAGTCGTCGCTGGTACACATAATACTGAATTAGAATTTAAACGTCGTTTAAAAATTTATAATGAACTTGGAGATGATACACATCCAGCAAAATTTTTCGAAGATGCTGATCGACCAGGCGAAACAATTAGTAAGAATATTAATCAATATTTTAATTTTAGTATTGACAATTGATACAAATCCTAGTAGTTTTCAATGATCAATGCATAAAATTTTTATTAACTTTATTTGTAGTCTTACGTTTGAAAGTCTTAGAAAATCTATTTACTCTTGAGGGAATCAGCTGTTTGAGTTTATAGTGAGTCGACAATGATGCATTGATGAGACTAGCAAAAGTCTAAAAGAATTCGTCCTCATGGGATTTTAGAGTTGAGTCATGATTGTTTTATTGAATTTTTAACACAATGTTAGGTACTTTCGGAAAGATCAAATAACCGGTTTTCAATATAAAATTTTGCCTATAAAGCAATGATTTTTACTATTATTCTTAGACAAAACATATTTGAATGGTACATATTTCCAAAAAATAATAAAGTTATTATTCTTAGTCAATATGACCTTTGTCAGACGTTGTCTGCTGTTCTAGAAACTTATTGATCGAAGAATAATTTGTTTTTGTTGATTATCAGAGATAACAATTGTTCTACTAATGTATCAAAAACATAAAAGACAATGGAATCTGATAAGATTTCAATCATGTTTTGTACATTTGCTTTTGATTATTAATATTAGTATCAACAAATATGTCCTTCTATTTGATCTCGGATCATCTCGATGCTAAGCACAAATAAGATCCAGATTTACTTCATCAAATCTTTGTTTGTCGATTATTAACTACGCAAACGATTGTTTTCTAATATTATCAAAACAAAATTTCATTTTTTTTTTAAATTACATTTTTGTCTTTAAGTTTTCTTCCTATAGAGATAACCGTACACAACAATTTCAAACTGTTTTTTCTTTCTTTCTTTCTTTAATAGAAATTGATGATGATCGAAGTATAAATCATCGAAATATAGTTGAAAAAATAATGGAACGTGTTAAAGAACCTCATAATTATGGTCCAACACCTGAAGAACAAGAACATGCAAAACGTAGAGAATTAAATGAAAAAGAAAAACATGAACGGGAAGAACGCGAGGAACGTGAAAGAGATGAACAAGAAGCAGCTAATGATCGAATGAAAAAACAAAAAGAATGGACAGCAAAATTAGAACAAATAAAACGTGAAGAATTTGATATGCTTGATGCACAATCAACACCATTGAGAAATTATCTTATGGCACATGTTATGCCAACATTAACAAAAGCATTAATTGGTAGAATTATTTAATATTTAAAATCAAATTCTTTGTGACTTTTGTTTTTTTTTCTATTGTTTAGAATGTTGTCAAGTACGACCTGAAGATCCAGTTGATTTTGTGGTTCGTATTTTTCTTTCTTTTTTTTGTATATTTGAAATCTTTTTATTTTTATTTTTATTTTTTAAGGCTGAATATCTTTTCAAAAATAATCCTCAAGTTTAAATTTATTTTATTTCTTTTTTCTTTTCTTTTTAATTCTTAATAAAAATATAAATAAAACGTATGTCAACTTGATAAATTTGTTTTAACTTTAAGTATACAAAATAATTTTTCTTGTCAATTTAACTAAATCATAATACATATGGCTTATTATTGTGATATAAAAGAAAGTATTTCTTATTTTCTAAGATTTTTGTTTGTTTTTTTCACTAATCTGTCATGCTTTCTATGAAAGAATAATCATCGATAATGATAATTTATGAAGTTTGGTATGAGATATTTGACTTATCTGTTATTTATCACAGGATGTGTTGAACAGTTGAATTAATTTTTTTTTCCGAGATAATCAAACAAGTATATCATCTAATTGATGTAAAGTGTCGACAATATTTAAATAAAGAATATTTATTTAGTGTGAGAAAAAAAAATTGGAAATTCTAATAAATCATATATGATTAATCATTAAAAAGATGGATGTATGAGACAATATGTCTAACAAGAGTAGACTTGACTTTCGCTCTTATTTCCTCTTATTTTCCACTCTTTGTTTGAGAATCTCGTATATACTTAGTATACTCTTCGTCGTATGCGTCCGCTGTACTAATACGCTGAGAGACAAAGATTATTTTTTTTCCTCTTTTTCTATATTTCTCTCTATTCTCTGTTCCATATCGTGTATTGCTGTCTGGGTGTCAGAAGAAGATAAATCAAACAATAAAAAAAAAAAAACCCGGCGCCATCATCAAGCAGTAAAGCAATCTATTTAACTGCATATACACACTAACATAGAGCAAAACAGGTTCCTATTACAAACAAAAAAAAAACAAGTTTTTCAATACACTTTCGTCTTTCGTATATTATTCAACAAGTTTCGTCAATTTCTACATCTACTGGCATACATCGATATGTAACAATCTACTATTATCTTCAATGAAACAAACCAAAGTCTAACAAAAAAAGAAAACTTCTTAGCAAATTCAATCAGTCAATCGTCATACGATTCATCAAAACTAAATATGTCAATGGAAGCATTTGAGCGTAAGTGATTAAACTGACACCTGATTCCACGTCATGCTGAGTGTTGATTTGATAATTGACACATTAGTAATATCTTGAAATAAGTATCCTAGTGTCAAGTAGATAATAAATCGGAAAGATGGTTCCATATGGTTTGTTTCGAAGAAGACTACGAGCATTTTCTATATTTTGACAATATATTCCTTGTCTTTGCATAATAGCAGAAAAAACTATGGAACATCTGTTGTTTATCGACAGAATAGCATAGAGACTAAGAATAATGAGATATGTCGAAACAAGTTTCTTCCTTCCGTATTTTTCTTATTGTGCTTTATGTACGCAGCAAGACATCATAAAACAATAATGAGATTGCTTATATTGAAGAAATAGAGAATGTTAAAATGATGTTGACATAAGTTGGTAATATGCTAATGTTGTTGATATTTGTTTACAATAGAGGATGCTGACGATTCATCGATATTACCCACTGAAATACGTAAAGTACCAAAAAGTATAGAAGAAATTGTACGAATAACAAAATTTAGTAAATCAGAAATACGATTACTTTATAAAGGTTTTAAACAGGTATGAAAAATATTTCTTCTTCTTTAAATTTTGTATGAAATAGAAAAATTCTTTTGATTTATATAGGAATGTCCAAAGGGTGCCGTTACTCAACGAGAATTTCAAACAATTTATTCACATTTTTTTCCTCATGGCAATTGTCAAAATTATACAAGTTTTTTATTTCGTGTTTTAGATAGACGGAAACGAATGTATTTTACATTTGAAGTAATTTTCTCATATAAATATTAGAATAATCAATAACTAAGAGAAGAGAAAGAAAAATATTTTAGTTCTTTTCTTTCTTATTGGTCATTCGAGTCATGATTTAAGATAGATATGAACGATTAAAATAATATCAATTAATTCTAGATTATTTTTATAAGAAAGAGTTTGAGAACATTGTTTTTGAGTAAAATTACGAGAATAATATGATGAAGTTATTTGATATTAAATGAAAAGATTTAATGATGAAATATTATCCAAAGAATCCTATTGAGTCTAATGTATCTTAATACATCTTTTCTTAATAAAAAACAACAAACATCATCAGTCTCTTTTGCCTTGACATAGGATTATATCCAAACGTTATCAATTTTGGTGCGTGGGAGTATCAAGGAAAAACTTCATTGGATCTTTCGTTTCTATGATATTTATGATGATGGTAAATTAACAAAACAAGTATGATATATCTTATTATTTTCGTTTATATTACTTATTTTTATTTATTTTAATAAGACATTTGAAACGATTGTTCGTTCATTATATAATCTTCTTGGACCAAATATTTTTATTCATCAACCAGTTACTGAAGAAACAATTCGAAAACATTCAACTGTTTTATTTGAAAAAATTGATCTTCATCATTCTGGAAGTATTAGTTTAGATGATTTTATAAAATATTGTTTACGTGTATGTGTATTATTCATTAAAAATATAAATAAATTCCTTATCTTTTTTTTTTTTTTATTATTTAGAACGAACAATTAATAAACGAAATTGATTTACTATCGTCAACTGCTGTTTAATTGAACATAAGTTTTTTTTTTCTCGTGTCTATATGATGGTGTGATGCTGTTTTTTCCCTAGATCTCTAGGAAAACATCATTTGAAAATTGAATTTTCTTTTATTTTTTCTTAAAGTACGCATTATATTATATGAATATCTGACTTAATGATGAAACCATATGATGCAAAAATTTTCTCATTCGATAAATTTTTCATATGTTGGAATAAAAAAAATAAACAATTGTGCAAATGGCACATATTTTATTTAATGATATCAATTAAAATTATTGAAATCATGAAAAAAATATGGTGATCAAAAGCTTTTGATTTCATTTTTGTTGTTTGAGTTGGAAAATAAAATTTGCTGTTATGTATATAATTTCACATTCTAAAACAATCTCTGAAAACTCAGATAAAGCTTTATAAACTAAATTCTAATCTCTATCTGTTTTACATCAAGATTTTTTACAGAGATTTTTCAGCAATCTGACCAACTAATAAGCATTTATCTGATCACATATGAAAAATCGATTATTTGTACATATGTCAATTTTTGCTAACATTTGTTTATGTAGATCAACAGATGAAATTCCTAATGAAAAGAAAGTAAGATTAAACTATAGTATTAAGTTATTAATAATGAAATATCTAATTACAGTTTATGCAAGTGAATGAATTGTGTATCAATGATTATCATTAAGCTCTTTAAACTTCATAAAATCATATGATATGACTCTATCTTATTTAAGAAAGTTAAGTTCTACTAGAATCTTTTCTAAATGATAAAAATTTTCTTCTAACTAGTTTTTGAAGAGTTTTTTTTACAAGATATTTTGTTAACTGAATGATCATCTAACATTTACTTTATTGAAAGAGATATGAGCAATATCAAACATGAAAAAAAAATTGGTACTTAATAGTATACTTTATTTTTACACATTATCTTTACTCAAGGATGTCGATAGGTCTTTTATACACCCATATCCACTATATATCGACAGAACAATTACGCTGGTAATTGAATATTAACTGTAATTGTTTTAAGACAAATATAAACGGAAACAATATGGTAAGACATATATGATTCTAGTTAGGGCGTCCCATCATTTTAGATAATTGTCTTCATTGTACCATCCATTCTATGATCTCATAAATGTCCTTCATCATGATCTGTTACGAGTCATTCATTATCATCCAACCAACAATAACGAAATATTGATTATGTCTTAAGATCTGATATTTTATATGCAGTTTTATTGGAATTATTTATAATACAAACTTAAAATGATTTATTATCGCAAAAGGTATAATCAATACATTATTCTACATGAACTTAGTACAAGTCATTATTATTTGATTCACTCTATTAAAGTTTCCAAGCCAAATCATACACTCGATAAATCTCAATCATTAATCGATAAAGAATAATTATGTATTAGATAGATACACTCATGAGAAAAAAAAAATATTTTCTCCATCGTAACTACAATAAATCAATTCGAAATATGAGACGAATACATCGCATAAAATTGTCCAAGTAGGTTTTTGCATTGATTGGACAATGGTTAAAACTTGTCAGACTAAACATCAATAAAATGTTTAGTATTGATCACTAGTTAATATTAAAATAACAATTTAAAACTGTTTTGTTTACCATTAACAAACGAATATTAAGAGTTCCTTTTTTTTTTGTTGCTGACATAAACTTAATGTTAATAAATCGATACCTTAATATCCTACCGCATCTGTAATAGTTATACGAAGTATGTGATTGATGTTTACACTTCATAATGATCCATAGCAAAGACATTTGACAAAGGTTGAAAGTTGATGTTTTTTGTCATTTGTCAATAAAAGAAGAGAAATGATATATGTTGTCATGAATCACTCGGTAGTAAAATATTGTATTTTGTTTGGAGAAGCGCAAAGAAATGCTTTTTTTTTGGTCTAATCTAACAAATATTCGGATTTTCATTATTAAAATACCATTTGATGAATGACATCCTATGCAGTTGTTGATTTCTTATTGAATATGATATAACTTAAGGTTAACAAAGAATAAGATAACGATACATTTATTTATTAGTTCAACATGTTAATAATGTTCGCAACTAATAGTTCTTACTGATCATTCAAATTATCTTGTGAAAATCTACAATAATTATTGAGGAAAGAATTTAATTATATTCGATGATGCATCAAAGTTTCTAATGAATAAAACTATCTGGTTTTTTTTCTCACAATTCAACCAATTTTGAGTATATGACTTAATTAATCCTGGTAATTCTTGGCAAATAGAAGGTAAGACTAAAGATATTTCATTGAAAAAAAAAATAAAAAAAAAAGATAATATTTCATATCTAATTGAATCACTTTTATAAGAAATGCCCTTAAAGTACGACTAGTTTTTTCACATATGTTTATTAATTTTTTATCTGGATTGATAAAAATTCTAATGATAGTAAATCAATATCTTTAGTGCCTGTCAAGATATTTCTCAGATTATTAGACTATGTCGAAAATTCAGTAAAATGATCATAGCTCGGCTGCAACACTTTTAAGCTTGTCCTAGATTCAATATAATCTCAAATGGCAGGTGTCAGCTCGATTAATTTCCTGGTAAGTATGGCAATCAAAAATTGCAAGATATACTAAATAGAAACGTTCAAAAAATATATGTAAGCACAATTATAAATATACATTAATTTTACAAAATTATGCATAATGCTTAAATGCACGTCAACAGAATACGGCAACATGCAACATACAAAAGAATGATTCTCTTATTAGGATTGGTTATGTCATAATAGAATTATATAGCAACAGTTTGACAATTCCAAAAATTGCACGGAACCGAAACCGTTAAATCAAGACTTAGATACGAAAATTTTAAATTTATTTTGTGCAACTTTCACTGCTGAGTTTAAAAACGTCATATATTTTAGTTTTGTGAAACCGTCCAATACTTCTCATAAGAATTATCATATAGCAAATTTTAATATACATAAACATCTATGAGGAACATATCTGTGATAATTAACAAAGAAGATTCTTACATATCTTATTCAAACTATAAAGCTGTGAACATCATTTATTTAAAATCAATCATTATTTTTCCATTATATAATACAATAATACAATTAATCATTATGACATCATTAAAAATTAATGAGCAGAATAAATTTCAAAAATCGTTATCGATTTTATGGAAGTTCAGCCTAAAGTTTTTAACTGACACAGCCAAAATATTTCGACTGAACAGATTAACAAACAAAGGAATATCATTATATGTTAGCATTGTCTTTATTTTACCATCTTTTGAAACATGTATTAAACGATTATTTTCATGATCAGCTATAAGCCATTCATCATTACTTAATGAACAACATCGAATTGTCTTCTCTTGATTACATACTAAATCCAGTTGAATTGACCAAATGCTTTCAAATGTCATTGAAGATTTTAATTCCATTCTCATAGTTTTATTCACATTGTTTCTTATTAATAATGCAAGTGTTTCATTATTATACTCTATACAAGTAATATCTTCAGTATGTGCACATGAATCAGGACTTTTCCATTCTCTAATTAAATTTACCGAAGGTAATAGACTGAACTCTAAAATACATGAACCATGTACTCTAGTTGATAAAAATAGAGATGTATTAGAGCATATGCATGACATCCATCTTTCTTTTCTAATGGTTTCCATACGTTCAATCGACATTGTATTTTCATTGATAAGATAAATATCATTTAGTTCGAGCACAATAAATTGTTTTAATGTTGATGACCAACACATGTCAAAAATCTTTCCATGATTCCATAAAGTCTTTCTGACTAATGTCAAATTTCGATCTATTAAACATAAATTAGGTGCATCATGAAATAATAAATATTGATCATTGCTGGCCAATTCTCTAAAAGTTCCATGGGAACGATTAATTGTTTTATAGGCCGATGAAAGTGTAGATAAATCAAATTCATGATAATTGGTTTCATTGATATGAATACAATTCGTATCAATAAGTAATGGATGAATATTTATATGAATAGAACTTTCTTCGATCTTATTCATTTCTTTCTGAAGATGATTAATATTCGATGTTAACATATCAATCTGTTGACGAGTTGCTTCTTGTTCACGAATAAGTTCAGCTAGTTTTGATTGTACTCGTGAAACTTCTTGTCGTTGTTTTTCAACTTTTTCCTCAATAAGTTGATTGAGTTCTTGACATTTTTCTTCAAAAATTTGATCAATCTTTTCATGACAATCTATACGCCACTGTTCAAGTATTTGACGACAATTTTCTGTTTTTTCTTGAATATCAAATGTCTTCAATCGATCTCCAAGTGCATTAATTTCGTCGATAAGAGGATTTAATTGAGAATTAAGTATATCATTATGTTCATTTAAATGAGGTATGCAGAGATTCTGCTGACAGCAATGACATAATGCGCGCGATGCACGTTTGCATTCGTTTAGACTGCATGGTTGAGACATTGAATGAAACAGAAAAAGAAAAGATTGTGTGCTTTGTTGTTTGTTGACAAGATAAGAGAAATGAATCATATTTTCATTGTTCCATACTCAAACTTCTCTTTTGTTTCAAAAACGAATACTAATGTTTTTTGGCATATGGTGTGGGTGCTGATGTCGACGTTGGCCTTCCTGACAACACCACCCACACCGGATATAGAATTTCATACTCACAATTGTAGCCACATGTCCATACTGACACA